TGGGTAATATTGTCGTTGATTTACCCGATCATAAAGACAACACACATTACAAGCGAGCCCTGGATATCGGGGACGCCCTGTCGACCGTCCAATACGAAGCGCATGGCGTTCAATACAAACGCGAATACTTCGTGAATCACGTCTCGCAGGTATTGGTCGGGCATTTGAGCGCCGATAAGGGAAAGTCATACACCGGTCGCATAGAACTGCAGGACTCGCATAAAGTGGCCGTACATGCGGAGGGAAATACCATCTCAGCGGACGGTAAACTAGCGAATGGGTTGCGGTTTGCGTGGAAAGTATTGGTTCAAAACACTGGCGGAAGTCTCAAAGTCAACGGCGCTGTCATTGAGTTCAACGGTTGCGACTCATTGACTCTGATTGTCGGCGCCGGTACTGACTATGTGTTCGACGACTTGAAGAAGTATAAGTCCGGCGAAGACCCAGCTGTTCACGTCAATGATTTTGTCTCAAAAGCGGCCGCAAAGTCGTACGAAAACCTAAAGACTGAACACTTGTCGGACTTCCACGGGTTGTTCAATAGAGTTGACGTGGATTTTGGTCAGTCGTCGGCACAACAAACGGCGTTACCGACCATTAAGCGCAAGAACGCTGCCGCAAATAAGTTCGATCCGGACTTCGAGGAAATGTTTTATCAGTTCGGAAGGTATCTCATGATATCGGCGTCGCGGGGGAGTCTCCCCACCAACTTACAGGTCAGTAGAAAAATGTTTCCGATCATTCATTTATGTAAATTAACGTATACTATCATATGAACCGTCCAGAGCTGAAGTATGTTCTTTGAGTTATATAGCATAGTGTTAAACCAACAGCAGTGCATATCAGAGAACATACTTCAGCTCTGGACGGTTCATATACAGTATTGTCTCTTTAATTACATTTAAAAATATTTTTTATTTATATTAATTAATTAATTTCATATTCACATAATCAGGGTCTATGGAACGACAACAATAGCCCGCCCTGGCATGCTGACTATCACGCAAACATTAATGTACAAATGAACTACTGGCCTACGGAAACATCTAACCTTGCTGAATGCCATTTGCCACTATTCAATCTGATTCGGAGTCAATTGAATCCTTGGCGCAGACAAACGCGGACATCCGATAAATTACTGACACCGGACGGCAAACACTCGTCAAAAGGGGTGGCAGGTGTCGGGCAACATAATATCTACGGAGGACAGGGTCTATTCAATATGGATGGGAACAATGATTATGATAAGACGGTCACCGCTTGGTATGTATAGCGACAAACAATGCGAATCTTAAATAATATGTTACCGGGCTGTTTGAACTAATTTATTGTTTTTAATTTGTACAAAAATGTTAAACTAATAAAATAGGGTACGGTATTGTCAATACCACTGAAAATCGAAAACTATGCATAGGTCAAACGCCCGATAGGTCATGGAGATAGTCCATAAATAATCCTGAAAATTCATTAAAATTTTTTTTATATATCGAGCACAGGTATGGACAGCACTTTTGGGAACATTACGCTTTCGGATTGGATAAGACATACCTAAAGGACGTGGCCTATCCCTACCTGAAAGAGGTATGCGAGTTCTGGGACGAACACCTCAAGACTGTGACGAAAGGCACTAAAGAACAGTTGGGAAAACTGGTTGTCCCTCACGGGTGGTCACCAGAACACGGACCCGAGGAGGACGGCTGTAGCTATAGTCAAGAGATTGTATGGGATTTGTACA